TATTATATATATTTATATTTATATATATATATATATAAAAATGAAGATCATTTCATCGAGATCTCATTGAGACGAATTAGATTGAGCTCAATGGGAAAGAGAGAAAGAAAGAAGGAGAAAAAGGGAATGGTCAGTGTACCCTTCATAAATTTATTTATTTATTTGTTTTTTTTTATTTGCTTACCGATCATCACGCGTGCCGGTACAGCATTCCATTCGAGCCAAAACGTGATGAACGAACTGGTGACCAAAATAATACCCGGGATGAAGACCGTCGTGAAGTAGAAGGCACGATCCCGAGTAAAGATTAGATCCACCTTCAGGCAGCTGTAGTTACCTGTACAATTTCATTAAAACGACAAGTTGAATTTTTTTTGTTTTCTTTAAAATGTTGTAAATATCACGGTAGTATCACGGTTGAACGAATATTTTCTTAAACGATAAATTTTCTGTATTGTTTCAAATTCGATCGTGATAAAATTTGTATCGTTGAAAATAATCGTTCGTAACCGTTAAATCGTTTTATTATTATAATCGTATAATAATGCTTTTTGCTCGATTATGCTTTAGGATATAGGTTTGCATTAATTAAAATAAATATATATTATATGCGTGTCTCGATTATTACGACAGTTGAATTAAGTTCAACAACAAAATTCAATGTATACATTTATTTTATATTACAATTATTTATATTATAAAATAAATGAATTTCTTATCTTTTTTGTTCCCCCAATTTTGTTGACTTAATTTACTATTATAATATTATCGGCACTCTATATATATATATATATATATATATACAATGTATAAAGAAAAAAAAATGTATAAATAAAAATATTACGTAGCACGTTCGCGCGAAAAATCGCAAGCAAGCGTTACGAACGTTATTCGCAGAACGACTCTAATGGCTGATTTTTTTTTGTCGCATTCGTGCTTTATATATTTTGACAGTAGTTCATGTGACATGGTGTCAGACGAGCTAACAACAGTCACGTGACAGTACATTCTACATCGGAAATCGAGTTGGACGTTGACAAACCTGTCAAATCGGCCAATTCTATTGATGTTTCTACTACGCTTTTTTGGTGCATGTATGGTAGTACGTGCGTCATCGTCGTTTACGTTGTTATCGTTATTGTCGTCTTTGTCGTTATCGTCTTTACTTTGACAATGAGGGGGAGAGGGAAGGGGGGGGGGAATATATGAAATAGAAATGATTCGTGTCAGGGTTTTGTATGTTCGTCAGCGCATTATTCTAGAATTAATTAATGAAACGAGATCGTAAAGAAAAGAAAAAGTAAATTGCAAACGGATATGAAAAGAATAAAAAACAATAATAAAAAAGAAAAAAAAAAGAACGGAATAAAAATACAATAGAAAGAAAAAGAGAAAAAGTGATATAAATAAATAAATAATAAAAGAAAGGAAAAGAAAAAAGGTAGCTTATACAATCAATCATGTCTTTAATTATCGCCAATCAAGCTCCGCATTCTCGAAAGCACTGCAAGCTGAGCTAAATATGCTAATTTGTGAATCTCTAAACGCAAGTATGGGATAGTTGGGAATAAAAAGGTAATAAATAGGTCAGGGTCGGATTAATTAGAATTAAGAACAGGTTTTTTAATTACTTATGGGTCTACGACTGTAATATTATGTATACATATATATGTATATAGTATATATAAATATATATGTGAAAATAAAACAGTGGCTTGCTCGACAAAAAAAAAAAACTTTCAAAATGCAAAGTTTTCCAACGAGGTATCACGAGAATCGTGAGAGGTAGAAAATACATACATACATCCAACATATGCATGTCTATATACGTACGTAAATATTACTACACGTTGTGTATTCCGAGTATTAGATATTTTATTTGGTCCAATTTTTTGTTCTCTCCTTCTTGTTTTCTATCCGTTTATCTTTTTAATTTGTTTTTCCCCCATCCTCAAACTTTCTTCTCCTTTTTCTATTTTTCTATTCTCATGTTTTTGTATTATCTTTTCTTTTTTTTTTTTTTTATACGGACCAAGTTTCCTTCGGTCTCGTTTCTCGGCTTATTGAATTCTTTCATGTTCCAAACGTTTAAAACGAAAGGATAATTAGTTTAGTATGAGTTATCTCGATGTATGTAATTTCGTGGATGTTTAATCGACGTTTGCCAAATGTCGCGAATACACGATGAATTTTTTCTACATTTCAAACGTCTTCCGAAGATTTAACACAACGTTTCAAAAATCTATTTAAGAGTGAAGAAAATTTGTCCGCGCGTTTAAAATTGACAAATGATGAGTGATGTTGGAGAAAATAAAAAGAGAAAGAATTGGAGGTTTGATGTATTTCTTTTTTTTAAAGATCGATATGTTCGAATATTTGACACCGAGTATATACGTGTATGTACATATATACGTACATACGTATTATACATATTTTTTGTTTTTTTTTTTTATCTAATATTTGTTTGTTGAAAAATTCATACGAATTTGAAGATACGTCGAGAAACGAAAATTTTTGTCAGTCAGAAATGATCGAAAGTTATTATTTTTGAATTAATGTATATTACAGAGTGAGAGATATAATTGTCACGAGTTTAAGGTAAATTATTATTTCGTTAAGTATATATAATCTGACGTGCTGTGTGATGCTTGTAGTAAAAAATGGTTAAGCGATCTTTCTAATTAAATTGTTAATTGAAAGGTAAAGAGATTATCGCATATTTCATATATTAAAAAGAAATCAACTTCAACAATATTTGTTTATCTAAATGAATTAACTCATGCTATACATACAAGATGCGGCAATAATTCTGTCCACCTTGAATATCAATGATATACCAAAGATATTTAAACTGAATAGATTTATTGCTTCACCCTGTATAGGTATATCATATGCTTATAATATTCTTATTGTAATACTTACTGCAAACATACTTGCTAATAATTATGAAAGTGGCCTAATTTTAAACTTTAATAATAATTCAATGTTTATCAACATTATATATATATATATTAGTATTGGAAATTATGATAGCGAATCAAGTTAAAATATTCGGAAAAATAGATCTTATACGATTTATTTTATAATATAAATAAAACTGTGATATATAAAATAAATCGTAATATACATAGTTTTCACCATTTGTTTATTTAATCAATTCTCGCATAAATAAAGAGAAAATCAAAAGAGAATTATTTATAAAAGAAAAAAAAAAAAAGAAGAAAAAAAATAGTGTAGGCCAATTTCATAATCACCCCGATAACTTAAATATTAAAAATCTAGTATATAATATATACGTACATACATATATAAAACACATACATATACGTATTCGTTCCAAATAGTGAGACACTACTTAACCATTTGATACGTAATAGCATTAAAAACGATTCATCGGTCAATGGATGATCTTTGATTGAAAAATTTGTTACTATAAAAAGCGACATCGAAACTACTAAAATATTATTGTACAGTGAGGGGGGGAAGGGAGAAAATCTTGGCATGTGTCTCGCGGGTTGGTAAGCTTGGTCCTGTCTCTCTCTTTCCTTTTTTTTCTATCTTTTTCTCTTTCTCTCTCTCTCTCTCTTTCTCTTTCTCTTTCTTCCTCCCTTTCTTGCTATTTAGTGGGGCTTTTGTTTTTTTTTTCGAGAAATATTTTGAGAAAGTTAAATAACAAGAGTGGGGTTAAAGTTGGGTAAGGGTAAATTTAGGAGAGAATATCAAAAAAGGGTTTGGTTAATGAAAATTCGATTAAAAACACACGAACGATGCGGGATATTAGGCTCGGCATGATCTCGGGGGGTGGGTGGGTTAGGGGCGGCAGGAGGAATTTACCTTGCTCCTCAAACCTGCGCTGGCACAGCGAACACTTAGAGTCCCCGAACTCATCGAACTCGTCCTCGTAGTCGATGATTTGTCCTTCAGCTGCAACAGAACAGCCCACGATCTTCCTTCCTATTCATTTTTCTTTTTTTTTTTTTTTATTTTTCCCCCAAGCGCTCGTTCCTCCTTCTTTCTAGCATATTTTGTGTTTCTTTCTTTTTATTCTTTTTTTTTTTTTATTTATATATATAGTTTTTTTTTTTGGTATTATATTTTTACTTCGTCTGTGATCATTTTTCTTCGTAAAGGGGGACGGATAAATTTCGATGATTTTATGATTAACTTTTTGCACTATGATCGTTACTAGTTAACTTAACATGTTTTTTTTTTTTAAGAATTTAGATGAGACGATGGAAATAATGTTGTTTTTTCAAAGTATATATATAGGTAAGATATATTTGTATTTAATACGTGAAATATTAAAATGAACAAATAATATACAAATCAATGTTGTTATTAAATAACACACACGTAAACAAATTATAGGAAATAATTGTTATTATAGTGCAAAGAGTTAATAAAATTTAAAAAAAAAAAAAGAACCATATTCAATTTGCGCGGACAAGAAATTTGCTGTTATTTCTATTTTTTTCTTTTTTTTTTAATTCGCAAAAGAAGAATCATATTAATAATAAATAAGTATCGTAGGGAATTTGAATATTCAGAAGAACTAGAATTTAGTTTTGATTAATTGGACGTTCCGTCCCTTTATTGGGATTTCTTCAGCAACTTAATCTCTAAAGTTCAGCGTCTTTTTTTTATTTGAGCAGACATACATTCTTGTAATATTCGAAAAACTATACATCTAAACTTTATTATCTCTTGATCCGTTATATTTGAACACTCAAACATAACGTTTGAGTTGCTGAAGAAGTCCCAATAAAGGGGACGAAACGTCCAATTAATCAAAACTAAGTTCTAGTTTCTTTTGAATGTCCAAATTCCCTACGATACTTATTTATTAATAATTTTATTTTTGAACGAGAGAGAAATAACTAATTGAATCATATTAATTTTCGGTGTTTTCTTGTAAATATAGGTGGTCAAGAAAAATATATTTTTCTCAAATTTTTCCTTTTTTTTTTCTTTTTTTTTTCTTTTGATAGTCTTACATCACCAAGATCTATCCGTCCTCCGAATCTTTTTATATACCATAGAAGCTTTTTTTATTATCGTCCCCGTTCTCGGCCTGGATATTGCCGTTGTACCTATAGATCGCACACGTATCTATTTTCGTACATACACAGTGGATAATGTTAACTAACTAGACCAAGCATATCCGTTTTCCGCCATGGTTGAATCCTTCAGGGTAAAGAAGGATCGGAGCAGTCCTATTTTTACACAAAAGCTTTTCTATTCTCCGAGGAAATCGAGTGAGGTCAGATGTATTCTACAAAGGTTCCTCTTTGATGTAATTCTATTTCGATGTGTTCTTGATAAGAAAAGCAATAAATTTCAAATATAATAAATAAAATGCAAACAAAATCTCGAGACGTACGATCGCCGATCGAGGATTTTTTCTTTTTTTTTCTTTTTTGTCTCAAATAATTCCTAGGCTCATAAAGAGATGCTACGTTGGCCGCGATTTTACTCAAAAATTATATCTAATATTATAAAAAGAAGAAGAGAAGAAAAAAAAAACAGACATTTAAATCCAACTCTTGAAAAAAGAAAAAAGAAAGTAAGTCGTTAAGTTAAAATAAAAATAAGCTTTATACTACAATGATTGTTACTTGCGATAATTGCAATGTTCTAATTTCACTCAAAAGTGTCTACAAAAAAATCTGTGCACACACAATCGGTGTTGTAATTGCAGTCTAATTCCAAATTGTATAAATCGTTTTGTTTTAATTGTATGGGTGTAAAGACTGCTTCTTTTTTTTCTTTTTTAATTTTATTAAATTTCTTTTTTGCATTTTTTTTATTTATTTTGTATTGTCGTTATATTCTATCATTTTTAATAATTCACAATATTCATCGATATTAAAGCAAGTATATCGGTTATAAGAAAAAGAAAGAAAAAAGTAATGTAATAGTAGTAACAATACTAATGGTAGTAGTAATAGTAATAATAGTATTGAAGTACACGAAAAGGAAGGGAGAAAAATCGGCATTAAAAGAGACGTTAAGAGATCTTCAAGGGACGAAAAAGAAGCTTCACCCCAAAAGCAAACCACGGCGGGTTCGGTTGAAAAGCGAGACAGGAACCAAGGTTGCCAATATGCATTTTCTAAGGGAACTATTCTTATTCATTTTTTATATATATATAATAAAAAAATATATATATATTTTTTTTAAATAATATATATAATATTTTTATTATATATATATATATTGAGTATATATATCGTTCTAATATATAAATTCAGCTAATGAACAAAATACAGGTATACAATTAAAATATATAACGTTGAACATTGTCACTAAATTGCATGCATATTATGCACATTATGCACTTTAATTGTTTCTCTTTCTCTCGCTCTATCACTCTATGTCTTTTTCTCTCTCACACTGTCTTTCTTTCTCTCTCTCTCTCTCTCTCTCTTCTTTTCTCTTTGATGATTGAGCGTGTCGATTAATGTAATGTTCTGTTTGTAAAAAACAACAACAAAAAATAGAAAAAAAAATGATCGTTTCTCGTTTGAGAAATTCTCTACTTTGTTTGATCGTAGAAAATTGTGTAATAATTATGAAAATATATTGATTTTGTAAATTATATCGTATTATCTTTCTTCTTATCATTCTATTCTTTTTGATAAAGAAAAAAACATGTTTATATATATATATGTTTTTATATTTAATATAAACGTAATATATTGTGTGAATTTTAAAATTTAGTTAAATTCATGTTAAATCGAGTGATCGTGTTATAATAATTTCAAGTATATAAGTAAAGTAATTAGGTAGATGAGGGATTCGTGAGATGTCATTTTGTTTTTTGTCATTCGCTATAGCTAAAGAAATATTACTACGTTAAAAGGAATCTAACTAAAGCAGTTTTTGTGTGGACAAAAAATGACAAAGAAAAAGTACCAGTGAATTAGCTCTTTTTCGTACGCATACATACATACATACATACATACATACATATAACATTCATGCACGAGCAATAACTTACCTTGACTAGTGAGAAAGGGAATATACACACACATGAAAAAGAAAAAAAAAACGAACAAATAAAATAAAGAAAAAGGGAACGAGATCGTCGATCATTTCTCACATTTTTATCTTCGAATTTCGTCGATAATAATCGAGTAGACGAGATCGAATCGAATAGAAAGAAGGTTGTTTTGTTGTGTTTTGGCGAAAGGACAAACAATTTTTCTATTTCATTCTTTTTCTCTTTTTTTTCTCTCTCTTTTCTTATCAAACAACATTTGTCCATACAGACGGAATGGGTTTTCTTGAAACGATCGATTTAACCGATTGTTCACACACGTATGTATTGTACATCTCTGTGATATTTTATTATATTTTATTTTTTTGTATTTAGTTATAAGAGCAAAGAATAAAAATGTAATTGTAATCGATATTAAAAAGAAAGAGAGATAAAGAGAGAGAGAGAGAGAGAGAGAGAGAGACATATAGTGAGAAAGATTAAATGAAGATATTTACTTTTATCTTTTACTCGAATTCGTTTCATTAGATCTCGTTTTTTTTTTATTTTTTTAAAGAAGGAAAATAATTTCAACATATTTAGAAATTTGAGAAAAGAAAAAATTGATATTAGAAAGAACGTCATTATCGTCAATGTTGTCGTAAATATCGTCTTTGTCGTTTTCATTGTCTTTTATCATCATTTGATATTATAGTGTATTGTACAGATATAGAGGTATATATTATATATATATATATATACATAATTGTAATTAAAATTCGGAGAGATTAGAACGACCGATCCGTATAAATAACATCAACTAAATGCATACAATAAAGAAATAATTGCGAGTGCGAGTGGTGTAAGCGATTATTATAATGTAAAATACAAAAATAAAAATAAAGCGAAAAATATATAAATTAATTATTTTCGTGAGACCGGGCATGTCTAGTGCACTTGTGATATAAATTTATATACATATATATAATATATATATATATTTATTTTAAATACATATACATGTATATATATACATATATACATATATATATTATACGTGATAAGCGCTGTTGATTTTTTAATTAACAATCGTAGATGCAACGAAGTATATACTATATGCCGTTCATTTTTCCATTGATTAAATCGAAAAATAAATAACTATAACATATTATTGGGAAAAAAAAATATATATATATATAAAATAAAGAAATATATAAATATACGAGAGAAAAGATTTTGGAAAAGGAATTTTTTATTTGATAGGAAATTTATTATATTTATATAGGGTGTCTTATGATTGGTGGTACAAATGAGCAGAAAATGATTCTATACGAAACACTAATGAAAGTCAAAAATGCGTAATAGAATAATATATGTTCATATGAGACCTTGGTTTTGGAGAAAAATAAGTTTGA